GTGCTGTGAAGATTATGGACTTAGAATGTAAGGTTGTATATATTGTCTTACCCAAAAGGGGAGAATGTTAGGAATATAAGTCACCTAACAGGTATTTGGGTTAGAAATATATAAACCAGGATAAACATTTCAAAACTGTATCTTTAAGAAAATGCAAAACTGTAATTAGGTGTGGTTACTCAAACGGCCATAAGATGGAGCCAGAAACCTGGGTTGTTTAGTCTTAGTCTGAGTCTCAGAAGAGTGTGTGAGTGTATCTCTGTTTCCTTCTGTTGGAAAGTATTGCCGTTGCTCCATTTTTCCTAATTGATTGATATTCCTGGATTTAATGTAAGTCTGATACTGAACTGTTTTTTGACACTGGACTTTGATATTTGGATTATCCCTGGATTGAAAAACTGACTGATTTACCTGTGAATGACTTTGGACTGTGTTTGGACTTTGCTTAAACCTTTCTGGAAGTAAAAACCTACATTTACTGCACAGTGTATCTGTGTTCTGTGTGTGTATTATTCAAACACTTCTCTCAAATACGTCTCCCTGTATGCGCTCATTCTCCTAACGGGAAATTACCTCAACACATACCATAAAAGCACTTAGATCTAGAATTAAGCCCAGCCAGATACCTTACTGGTATTGCTGGGTGGAATTAGCCAGTTCTAAAGACCTCATTAAGGAAAAGGAACAGACTAAGACAGAATACCCACTCATAGAAACTCAGCCTGGGGTGAGAATCATGCCCCCCACATTAAGTAAACTAGTCCCAGGAAGACAACTAGATATACATCAATGTATTACGACAGCTGGAACTGCTGGTACGAATGGATAGAACAAAGATTGATTAAACAATAAAGGGCAAAAGAAAACATGTTATAATTGTAGTAGTGACTATGTATGTATGTATGTATGTATATGTATATGTATATGTATATGTATATATATATGATGTATATGTATATGTATATGTATGTATGTATGTATGTATGTGTGTGTATGTATATATATATAT